GGGGGGGGGGGGGGGGGGGGGGTGAATCTACAAAAATGCCGACAAATAATAATACATTAGAATTTAGAGATGAAAAATAATCCATATGGTATCCGGGGCATTGCACGTGTTTAATTACACTTTTAGAACATGGATAATTTAACTATAGTAACATCTTGGAGGTATCAATCAAGTAAAAAAGAATTAAAGAATTATAGAAATATGCATGTCTATGTTGACACAAAAATAACATGCGTAAGTAAAGTATGTCAAGTAAAACAATAACATCTCAAAGCTGATCTGGTTTTGAAAATTGACGCACAATTTCATCGCTGTCTGGATTAGGGTTTCCAGCGAAAAGAGTAAACCGTTTCGCGAAAATCACCGAAAATTTAATATTTTTTCGAATTTCATTCGTTCGCAAAAATTGCAAAAATTAATCTGTTTCGCGAAAATATTTTTTAAAAAGCTGAAATCTCAGAGCAGAGAATTCCACAAGTTTGTTGCGAAATTAATTTCGCATTTTTTCGCTTAATTCATTTTCGCGATAAACTGTGAAATTTCGCGGAAAAGTTTTCGAAATACAAACAAAAATGCTCGCATTTTTTTGCGAAATTATTTGTTTGTTGGAAACCCTTTAGTGTGGATTGTTATAAATTCATGAATTTGAATATTCAGGAAAATAAGATTACGTGGGTCACTATACTAGCTGTTGTAGCAGCGATAAAGGTAAATATTTTCTAGAATTTACATCAATTAAAGGGACTGTGTATGGATTGCAGCTTCCAGTGACCATTCATTTTAAAAGATACATGCCTGATTTACAACGGTACCCTTGTTAACCTTAATATCCGTATAAGATATCCTCTTGTTTACCTTGATATCCGTATAAGATATCCCCTTGTTTACCTTAATATCCGTATAGGATATCGTCGCCAAGTTTTCTTTCCTGAAAAGAAAAATATATTTATTAATTATTTCTGAGATTGCGGAAGAAGAGGAAGGGAAACTAAATAATTTTTTCTCTGAGATACAGGCATAACTCGTTCATATAGAGGGTAACTAAAAAGTACATCGAAACCCAATTTAAGAACCAATATTTCCTATTTTTATTAAAATATAAATGTTTTAAATTCAAACATTGTTTATCTTGTTCTTATGGGAAAGTTTTTAATAAGGAACACGTCTTTACACAGTGAAACTAACTATAATGATAAGGGACGGGTGAGGCCCTGAGGATAAAAATAGGGGGAAACATAATACAATGTGTTTTTAAAGTTTGGTCTCTTGGTCCCAACTGTAATTTTTTTATATTACTTTTTTCAAACCCCATTTGGATTAAATTTATTTATATTTCAGATTAAATGCAGAAGAATGATCTTTTCAAATTTATAAACAAAATATGAAAACTAAACATATAAGAAATTAAATTAAATTTGTATACACATTTGTTGGATATGTTTTTACCAGTAAATATTAAAGTAATCATTGTACATTAACAATTCTAATTGATTTTTTTGATTCTATTAGTATAGTTTTAGTATTGTGTAACAGACTATATTTTGCTGCCATTTATATAGTTTTAGTATTGTGTAACAGACTTTATTTTGCTACCATTTATATAGTTTTAGTATTGTGTAACAGACTATATTTTGCTACCATTTATAAAAATAAAGAAAGATTAAATTATGAAGAAAATTGTTAAGTTTATATGTTCTTGGAGCATCCATTTTGAAAATATTAAAACAGAATAATGTAAAAAATATCTCTAGATGATGTGCTTGCTTCCATGTAAAAAAAAGGAACTATGAAAACATGTTTTAGGTGATGTGTATCGGTATTGTTATCTATATTCTTCAGAGGATTAGAAAATTTAACAACTCCAGGTAAAAAATTTTGCTGAAAAAAAATCACCTTTCTGGAATTTTAATAAACAAAAACTTTCTCAGATTTTCCTGTTTGAATTGGTGGATATTTTCTAAAATCATTAAGGTCAACATATTTTTCAAGGCAAAATTTTCAATTTCAACCAACCATAAACCTTTCGTGTGACTTGTGAGCTACCACAAAAAAGTTGGTTCAGCCGTTTAATGGTTAAAGGAAAACACAGTGTACAGTGTACACTGTACATTTGAATATCCGAGTTGGGCCAGCCTGGGCATTCGGTTTAGATTTAGGCGGACTCTAATTAAATTTACATTTACAAAAGTGGTAGAGGAACGTGGACTGTTAGATTAGTTCTTGACCTAATATTAAAAATAGATGGTTTTGGGTTTTGAGCCTCTGTTTAACTATAGATCAGAGTTGGACCCCTTAATAAAACTTTTATTGAATACTTGATCTGGAGCCATGTTTCTGTTACAACGAGGGCTCAAATGTCAGAATTTTTGCAATATGCCCAAGAGCCGGGAGTAAAATATTTCGTCAATAATGTTAGTTAAACAGGAGAAAATTAACTTAACAATTTTTCTGTTTTGTGGAGTAACAATTCAAAGGGTCAACCATTCACGTAAAATTTACTCAACAGTATATTTTGGGACTTGTAAAATATTATTGTTTTGTGAACTTTTTTGTCATATTTGAGAACGGCTTGAATTGTAATATTTTAATCCTGAAAAGAAAATTTAGACTTTGGTTAAAAAAATATGAAATTCAAAGTTTTTTACTCAATCCTAAATTTAAGACTTTTAAATGAATGCAAAAAAGGTTCCAATAATGTATAACTTATTTTTTTGTGGACACCAGACATAAAGTATAACTACAACGAAGTCTGTATCGGGATGATTTTATTATTATTTTAATCTCTAATTTAAATCCATTAAAACCAGTATAAGGGATCTTAATTAAACAGCCCAACAAAGTACAGATAACTTATAACTTACTGGTTTAAAATGGGTTCTAAAGTTTAGACTAACTTAACTTGAAACTGACCACGTGGGATTTTTAAGCGTTAATGGTTCATAAAAAGCCTTGCGTCTGGTACTAAACAATTTATTTAACTAATATAGTTTCTCTAGCTTCTTGGAATTATTTGGCTTTCATAGTTTTTAATTTTTTTTTAGATCTAGTTCCCGAACTATCTCCAAACGTAAGCTGTATGATTCATCATCAGATGGAAGCGAGCATCCGGACTACGTTGCACATAGACAGAGAATATAAAATCATCTGAACTATGTGGCACATAGATCGAGAGTATAAACAGTTCAAAATATCAGGTAAAGAAATTGAGTTTTTGCAATAATCTCTGATTTTCGTACACTATGTTCAAACTATATAAATCGTTTAGATCAAATAGTGTAAGATTATAATAGGTGTACACCATCAGGTTTTAAAAATATTGAGATTAGAAAATTTGAGTTTGTGGCAAAGACAAAGTTTTCGTTCTCACAAAAAGAAGAAAAAGAATTGAATATGAAATTTTTTGTTTGAGAAAAAAAATGTTTGGTAAAAGAATTTTAAACATAATAAATATTAAACATATCGTGTAAAATTGAAACTTTATTTTATTTATGCTGCTGATTCATATCAGTTGTATTTGTAGTTTCACGTAACTCTTTATAGTGTGGCATGTCCGATTCACAAGGGTACCTTAGAAAGCTTTTGTCCTATAAAGAATGAATTTAACTTAAAAAATAAATTGATTATACTTCTAATTGTGGGTTTTCTACAAAAATGACTTGCGCATTTCTTATTCTGTAGATTCAATGGGAAGAAATTATTAGAATTTGAAACAAGCTAGAGCCCATCCCCCCCCCTTCCTAGAAAATCATGTACCCCTCCTTAGACCATGTACAACCTCATTCATGATGTATATCAAATTATGGGTTTTAGCTGGGTTTTATTTCAATTTCTCAATTATTTCTGGGATTAACAAACTCTATCAAATAAAAGACTTCCTTTACCGACCTTTCAACTTTCACCTTCTTAATTTATACCCTAAAGGTTGTCCACTATAAATTGAGACTTCTTAAACAGCTTATAAAATAGCAAATCTACCAATATGAAAAATCTGCGATGATCAATCAGCGACCTGTGTACTGGGAACAAATTGGTTGCAGTGTTTTGGATGAAAATGCTTTTTGTTAGTTTTTACATCAAAAACTACCATGCCAATTATAATTCATATTTTCCCCTGAAAGTTAAGGGCCTTACTGGAAAAAATATTTTTACATATGCAAAGAGACTGCCTTTGGAGCTAGTGTTTCTCATGAAATTTTTTCTATGTCAAAATCCAATCACCCAGCGAAAATTTAAAACTGATGAGTAAGAGCATTTTTTCTGAAATCTCTATTTATAGTGTATACCTTTATGATATATTCAATAATCACATTCACTACATTTATTCTGTAAAAAACTGGATTTAATTCAATCAATTGTTCATATATTATTTAATATATGTATGTATGATAATTTTACCATATTAAAAGGGATAAATAGGTGTTTCTGGTTTTTAAAATCATAAGAAAGGGAAACAATTCAAAAAAGAATAAATAATTATTTAAACCACCTTGGACAAGGTATTTCAATTCAGGTCATTTATTAAATAGTATTTTTGTTGAATCTTTCATTCCTTGATGCTTTTATTTCATATCATGATTAATGAATTTCCTTAGCCCCCCCCCCTCCAGGAGCTCAGGGGGCCCGTGGGACTAGGCCCCCCTTTGATCCGTCCCTGATAAAAAGAGCATTGATTACACATCTTCTGTCATCTGTAATTATTGCATGATCATGCACATATTCACACAGTACAAACCTGTATACTTAACCATCTGCAAGATAGAAAAACCAGCAAGCTGATGCTGTGGTTGTTATTGTTATTGTTGTTGTTGTTGTTGTTGTGCAGCCTGCAATTGGACGCGTATGGTAGGATTGAAGAGGACTCGAGTAATGGATCGACGAGAAGGATGAAACAAACCCCCTGTCAGACAACACTGGCAGATTGGTTCGAGGTAACGCATTTTACCCCATCATTATAAAAAAAATTATAGTTTATTCATATTTATATATATATACAAAATATACATGGTCATCAACAACGGATGAGACTTCAGTGAAAAGTGCACGGACTTTTTAGTCTTTATAATGGTTCCCGCCACCTGCAGCTGTACATAAAAGTTTCTTTCTTTACCAATTTATTTCTATTTTATGAATTATCACCCCGGACTAACCAGAGTTAGAGGCATTCGTTTTCTTCTATTTGAAATCTTTCGCGTTTAGGTTTATATTTTAACAATCTTTTAAGTTACGGATTTATTTGTTTGATACTTTTTATTCAAAACATATATGCCGGCAAAAAAGTATTTAAGAAAGAACGTTGAAAAAATATGTTTAATAGGAGAAATTGTGATCGAAAGTAATAGCTTTCTGGAATATTGACAGAACCATTAAATCTACGTGTTATAGATATATATAGGTATATACAAATGTATTGTAATGGTATGTACGACTATATTTAATGCACAACACTTTAAACTCAAGTTTTAAAGTTTCCTATCGGCATTACAGTCTAGTTTTCTTTGTGGCTGGCTCCATAACGAATCTGACTAGATGGTAGAACGTTTTTTCTGTTTCTATTTTCAAATTGTATATTGTACAAATATGAATATTTTTATAGAGCAAACAAACAAGCAAATAAAAAAAATGGAGGCTGGGGCGGGGGTATAATTGTAGGAAACCAACATATGGTTTATACATACATACATCATTCGTAGACTCATCTTTAGTTCCGTATCACATTATTTGTGTGAGAACAGAATCTGTGAACCTACAGTTTTACAGTTTCACAACAAATCCAGATTTACAGTTATTGTACAGCAAATCCAGATTTACAGTTATTGTACAACAAATCCAGATTTACAGTTACTATACAGCAAATCCAGATTTACAGTTATTGTACAGCAAATCCAGATTTACAGTTATTGTACAACAAATCCAGATTTACAGTTATTGTACAACAAATCCAGATTTACAGTTATTGTACAGCAAATCCAGATTTAAAGTTATTATACAACAAATCCAGATTTAAAGTTATTATACAACAAATCCAGATTTACAGTTATTATACAACAAATCAAGTTTTACCGTTTTTATATAACAAATCCAGATTTACAGTTATTATACAACAAATCCAGATTTACAGTTATTATACAACAAATCCAGATTTACAGTTATTATACAACAAATCCAGATTTAAAGTTATTATACAACAAATCCAGGTTTACAGTTATTATACAACAAATCAAGTTTAAAGGGACTGTAAGCGTAAATTGGAGTGTCCCTTGCAAAGTACTGATATCTAAACAACAAAGTTAGTCATCATATTTTCAGACAGATTCAACTTTAAAGTCTCACAACACCTTGGCCTTTTGTTTTACCTCACCAATTCACTTATACTTTTTGGTAGCCCTAGACATATAGATTTTGAATTGCAAAGTGCTTGTTTCTAGCTTAAGTTTTCAATAAGTTATTAGCAAAATACGGTGTGAAAGCTTGACCATCTGAGTTAGCAATGGAAGACGACAATGCCTGATTTAAAAGGGTTCCCTGGAAACCTTGTCTAAAATTTTCGTTTTTTAGATTTTGGAGTGTTTACTTTTAAAAATTCTTATATTTTTTTCCTGCAGTAGAGTTAAAAATGCGTAAGTCACTTAATTTTGTATAATTGAGAAACCACAGTTTGAAAATATCCGTTTTCAACATTATAAACATTGAAATATATAATTAATATCAGACAACGCTTTTAAGAGAACCGTTGTGAATTTTTGTAATTTGAAGTTATGCTTACAGTCCCTTTAAAGCTGGAAAAAATGTTTACCTAAATTTTTAATCATTTTTTTAGAGTACCGATGAATCTGTGGAAGTTAAAGCTGATTTCAGAAAAGAAATCTATATCCAATATAATGAGATGTATCTCATTGTGCCCCAGTATACAAACTACTACACAGTTCTCTATATCTCTGTTTTGTTCAGACAGAGCAGTTTGTTTATTAATTCATCTTATTTTAATTCGTTTAATAAGTTTGCCTAGATGCACGTAAGATTGAAATGTTATTGTTATAATTCCTCTATATTAAAGAGTTATTTAAAAGAACAAAAATGATTTGAATTTTTGATACGTAAACAAATAAATTCGCCTTTCAAGTCGTCACAAAGTCGTACCATTAATGTCAATTCAATTTGACCGTCTCCACCTGCCTAGTTTACAGTAAAGAGTATTTCGTTTTCTATAATCACGCACATTTGGACGATTAAGTTCATGATTATGAATTAGTCAACTGTTTTTATACGTGCATTCAAAGAAAGGGTTAAAACCTTGTCACTTATATACTGAAATTGAACAAATCAAACATAAAAAGAACTAATGGATAATACAGAGCGTCCCACATATTAGATTATCTCCATACTTTAACGTCAAAAAAAACACTTAATACTCGAAAAACCTAGCATTTTCGGCAAGACATTTTTGCTTCAACATGATTCATTCTTCTTAAAATTTCTGATTAGTCCCAAAAACCGTAACTTAGACCCATTGACGATCTACTATGATGTGGGACACCCTGTATGTCGAGTATTCTGCTTCTGTACATTTTATGTGTACGCTTAAATCAGAATTTTTTAATAATTCTTTCCAACTTAGTGTTTTTATCTCCTTAAATCATTGAATTTTTACATTTTAAATAATTGTGTTTTTATCTCCTTAAATGATTAATAATATAGAGTTTAATCTCTTATTTTACATTTCTTTTTAAATGATATAGTTTCGAGAGGAATGGCGCAGCAAATAATAGATTTTAAATAAAAAATGTATTTTCATAATTTCTTGGTATGATATCATAAAATGAATACATTTTAACGTTTTATTGTTAAATTATAAATATCACAGTAGTATGCGATTATATTAATACAATGAAAACGACTCTCGGTAAAATTTTTTTATTTTATCATGCTTTTAAAAAGCATGGATATACATAAACATGGAAACAATTAAACTTGTAATTCGAAAAAAACTTGTAAACAATTAAAACTTAAATAAAAAAGTCATCTTCATTGTATTGATAAAATAGATAATTACTAAAGATAAATCTGAAAAATATAGAAACTTAATGCTAAACTCTCTTATTGTTACCTGTATTGTAAACCAGAAAACCCGAAAACTGTGGAATAGGAAGACGACATTCATTAATGCAATATTTAAGTGAAATGTTGCTACCAAGCAAAAAGTTTCACTATTAGATTGATAAATCACTTACAAAGTAAAATGGGTCTGTGTACACTTCACAATTGCTGTGTCTAATGTTTAATGGATAATAACTTGAGTCTGAAAGTAGTCTTCAATTCCAGAGTTTTCTGGTTCTCACTGTATGATATCCGTTCTAGACTGTTATTAGTATTCTAAATAATCTGTAAATATTTATTTATCATTGGATCTAATAAACTTATCAATACCAAATATTTAATATTGGAATTGCTCTAAAAATGTCCGTTTTTTGCAAACATTTTCATAATCATTTTGGTTCATTAATTTATCAATTATATCAAAATAGAACTACATTTTTTCGCCAGAACTGAAGAGAGTCAACCACAGACAAGATAAAACTAAACGTTACTTAATGCTTGATTTTCATTTCCTTGATACCGGGTTACAGTATCTACTTTGAGTCCTAGTGAGAGTCATTAGTTTTAAAGTATCAAAAAAACAATTTAAAGATATGTATCAAATTGAACCATCGAGAAAGTTAAATTCAATTTTCGAAGTTTTTTTTATAATTTTTGTGATAATTATTACTTTTTTATTTTTCCAGTTTTTCAAGATTATAATTTTTCAGTACAACGATATCTATTTTCTTCTCAAGGGTTGTATAAGTGATGAGAAAAAGTAATTAAAAGTTGTCCAACACCTTTACATTTAATTTCTTCATTTCCGACCAAACATCTAACACTTAACATTATCCGGAAGCTGTCACAAAACTTTAGAAAAAGTAATTTGCAATTAAATTGCAAGTTGGAAAATTTAAATACTGCAATTTTTACTGTTAAAATATTGCAGATAAATATATATATTATATTATATATATATAATATATTGCAGATAAATTTTACTTTTCGTACAGTCATAACTTTCTTAACTCTTAAACTTTTGTTTAAATTCACAACATGTAACCTGAAAAGCTTTGTCTGATCAAGTATGAATTAGATATCCCTGTTTTAATATTTAAAAATTGTTATTTTTAATTGTGGTTTCTCTGACTTAAACATAAAGGAATTATCAGTAATAAACAATTTGTATCCTAGAAAAACGACAATATCTTCCACATTATCCATCAAATAAGATTTCTAAACTAAATAAGAATTTTTACATTTTGTTAATTAAATATTTGTTAATTTGTTAAACAAAGATTCAGTTCATTCAATTTTGGTAATCCAGTATTTAAAAATCAAACAAAATGTCCGAGTTTAGTTACACAAAAATATATGAAAGGAATCAGGTCTCTGTCACAAACTTTGATTTTTTTTGCGTTAATGGTTCTAAATACAAAGAACCTACTCATAGTTACCTAACAAAAGTTAAAATTTTACAATAACAGTCATTAAAAAATATTCCTAACACATAGGAAAGCAAAAAAAAATCAATAAAATTTTCAAGTTCTCATGACGTGTAGATAAAACAAGATGTGAGAGACTTATGCATTAAATATATTTTTTATTAACATTTATGAGTTCTATTAAAGATTCAATTATCTACGTTTAAAATATCAAAGATTTACGCTATTTTGCAAACTACATTATTTTGCAAATGCGAAAAAATGTTCATGAAATAAAAATTTGCGAAGACAAGCATTAACATGAAATTCACTTACTTTAATTATGAAATATTTAACATTGGCTTCCCGGTACACATAAACAATTGAAAAGGAATAGAGTTTTTGCCACAAACTCAAATTTTATAATCCGTATACCTTTACAAGCTGCTGTTGTAAACCTTTGATATTTCAAGCTCAGAATGTTTGATCTAATAAAATTCATAGTTTGAAATATCAAAGGTCTACATCATCAGATTGCAAAGGTATAGGAATTAAAGAATAGAGTTTGTGTCAAAAACTCAGTTCCTTTAGAAGAAAAAATTTGAAGAATTTAGAAAAAACCATAGCATCAAATCTATTTAGAGATCAATAAGTTATAAGTACATTATAGCGTAATTATCATTATTAAATTAGAAAAAAAACCCTGAAATTAGGGGTTTTCAGTCCTTTTAAACATCAAAAAACATTTCCAAATGTGCTCTAGTAAAAGGTTTTTTAATTTTAGTATGTGTTTATAAAACATTTTGTCCTTTGATCCTTCTGTTTGGCGTAAAACTATATCAAATGTTAAAAAACCTCTCTGTTTACTTTAATAAGTTAATAATTGTTATTATTCTATTCAAATCTATATTGCAGAGAGAAAAAAATTGCTTAGAAATTATAATTATATTGAAAATTATTTCTTAAAGAGGCCCCAATTTGATGCCATACAAAAACTCACCTATTCCTATTTCTAAGCTGTTCGCATCCATGGGATTGAGCGCTGCAACCTCCCTTTTTAGGTTTTGGGCTTTGTATATACCTTGGATTTCAGAAGAAAAATTTCAGGGGAATCAGAAATATTAAAATTTTTTGTTTCTTAAAAATATTAATTCCTTGAAATGAACGACGAGATTTACGAATATTCACAAAATGGAAGAATCATACGCCATTTACTTAAGGGGCTGTAAAGGAAAAATGAATTGGGGTAAAGGCTGAAACCTAAGTAATTTAGGAGTTGATCGAGACCCATGAGAATTCTATCTGATGTTCTTGTCTCGAGAAATTAATATAAAACTGTGTCAAATTTATATGAATATTTATGTATATAAAATTTTGTATAAAAATCGTAGGTTTAAACAGATCATATTCAGCTAATATGCAACCAATCTGAAAACAACGATATCCCAGAGAAAGCCTAACAAAATTAGGTTTGCTCCTATGATTATTTGAATTTAATAATTTTTCATTTTTAATAGATATAATTAAGAATATTATTTATACGTCTGTATCACGTGACCAGAACTCCCACCAATGGCAGTGCAGTATTATTGTCACATGTCTCCGTCTGTATCACCTGACCAGTATACAGCACTGCCATTGGTGGGAGTTTTGGTCACATGATATGGACGTATAAATAATATTTCTCTCATATTTTTATAAATAATTTTTCTCTCATATGGAAATCTTCATTAATTCAATTCCCGAGGTTTTTCTGGATGATCTTTTGAAAGAATTTCTTAAAAGAGTTTTCCTATTTTGACCTTAATGAAATCAAATGAAAGAAAAACAAAGATAAGACATTTACGAACTCAGCAAACTTTCAAACTTTAAACTTACATCAATTCTTTATTTTTTTGCGCAACATATCCTCTGATTCAGATTGTTGTTCCTCGAACGGAAATATTGCGTAAGACGGAAAGAGAAATATGTCGACTAGGAGGTCGGACAGTATAGTAGACAAAGTAAAATTCATAAAAAACGACAACGCGTTTAAAATTATGAAAACATCAAATTAGTAAATCAAGTCATAATAAAAGTTCAAACCAATACTTATTGGGCTTTTTTTTTGTCGAAGATTGGTTGGAGGGGGGTGGGGGGTCCCACTATATACCTCATCAAAGAGATAGTATTAAAGAAAGTTATATTGTCCCTTAATATTCGGTATCAAAACATATTAATCTAAAATTTAACCAAATTGGAAAAATTTACTGAGGTTATGAAACCCCCAACACACGATTTGAGGTACAAACATGTGAAGTTATAGTGAGACCCAGTAAAAGTGAATTGAAAGTCATGGTTTCTATAGCTCAATGAACAAGAATCAGAGCAAGTGTGCCAATGTGCAATTTGCTTTATACACCAGCAAATAAACAATTAAATCTCGTCTTACTATTCCACTGTTTTATGGGTACCACTGTGTTTTAATATTGTTGGAAATAAGAAAAATTTAAATGCATTTAAATTACTCATTGAACTAAATAAGTTTGATAATAAATATTTTAGAATAAAATCATGATTTTAACATTGTTCTCCATAACATCTATTTGCCATCTTTATATTTTGATTGCAATGAGACTGTTTACACGACTCATAAGTTCTAAAGGAAATATTTGTTATAAAAAACTATAGAAAACAAATCTGGTGCATATTAACACTTTATTTACAATTAGCCATTTTAATGATTTAGTAAGTGTCTGAATTTTTAGCGTAAAATATACGTACTAACATCAATAGGTCATTCGTTACCATAACAACTACGTTAGGGTTTCCAACATAATTGCCTCTTCACTTACGCGAAATTACGTGGAATTTCGCAGAATTACGCGTAATAAACGAAACTTAAATTTCGCGGAATTATACTCACAATTTCGACCACATTTCGCGAAATTATGGCATAATTTCGAGAATTTTCTTAAATTTAATTTAGAGAAATTACGTAGAATTACGAGTTATTTAAGGAATTTAAATTTTTCGTAATTATAACCTGATTTTGTAAAATCACGCAAATCACGCGTTACTTAAGAAATTTCGATTTTGCGTAATTCTTAATTAAAGGGAGGGGATAGGGTAGATAAAGGCAAGGCAAAGCGGAGTATAAGAGAAGGGAAAATGTATTGTTTTTGTAAATCCGGAGAAGAAAATGGGGAGGTGGGGGTATATGGCGGAGGGAGGAGGGAGGTTGTTGTAGGAGGGGGTTGGGGGATTGTGTGTAAAGGGTCGATGTGGTGAGATGAAAAAATGTAATTTGGAGAGAGTTCCCATCAAGACAAAAGTGTCTTTATAATGACTCTATGGGAACTTAAAACACTAATTTTTATCGAGCAAGGCAATTATAGAAAAGTCCAGCAAGAAATTAAACTGTATCTTCTAGAATTCCATTTTGAATGGATGAGAATTGAATTAAAGACTGGAGTTAGAAACTTTTGAACAGTCGAGGAGTGGGGGGGGGGATAATTTGCTGCGTGGGGTTTTGCTTGAACATTAATGCAATTTCGTATAAGAGATTTACTAAACATTAAAAAGTTTGGTGGGATTTAAAAAAGCCGGCCATATTTCGGAAATGCCGTATTTTTTGATAATTGTTTCAAAAACTTCAGTAAAATTAGTTTAACAATTGAATTCTTCACATTGTAATGTGTAATTCTACATCAATTAATAATTTCATCCATATTTTGTCAAATCATCAAATATGATATCAAAATACGTAGATTTGTTCATATTTGTTAAAATATTTCAAGTTTTATAACTGTATGTATTCTAAACAGAAAGTAAAGGATCTGACGGTAAACCAGGACTCTAAGTTACATTTTACTCATTGACGGGTTATTCTGTTTTTTCTTATTATAGACAAAACGTATGAATTTTTTATGTAATTTCCCCAAAAAAGTATGAAATAGAAAATGAGAAGAAGAATTTACATTTAATGCATGTAAAAAAGATGCTACAATGAGAGCTCACATAACAATAACCCAGGCATTTGAATCATTGTGAAAGTGAAATGCATTTTATTGTTAAGTTGTGGAAGACGATACCTGGCCGCCTAAAACAAGTTCCACAAGATTCACCGGAATGAGATAGAACGGATACGAGGCATTGTACTTTCAGTCTAACTCCTGTGATCTTGATATTGAGACATTTCTGAACCCTCTAGTAAAAGTTATAAGAAATATATATACTGGAAGTTACTTTATACGTTTCATTAGAGATCGACCTCACGTCCTCTATAAAGTATACTATACATTAAAAATCTCCGAAAATACATTGGAATTGGAGGTTTTAATACATCCTTAGATGGGTTCAGATAAATTTTGAATTGAATCCTTCTGCAGTGAAATTATAGTAATATCCAAATTTAAATACTTACAGTGGAATTATAAATTCACGTCATTGATATTTGAATCTATAGTGGATTAATAAACCTCCATAGGTCCTTATTCATATCTGAGTCTATAGTGGATTAATAAAGCTCCGTAGGTCCTAATTCATATCTGAGTCTATAGTGGATTAATAAACTCCGTAGGTCCTAATTCATATCTGAGTCTATAAGTGGATTAATAAACCTTCGTAGGTCCTAATTCATATCTGAGTCTATAGTGGATTAATAAACTCCGTAGGTCCTAATTCATATCTGAGTTTATAGTGGATTAATAAACCTCCGTAGGTCCTAATTCATATCTGAATCTATAGTGGATTAATAAACCTCCGTTGGTTTCCCGAAAGGTTGACTAAGAAGACGACATTTAAAAACGTGTTTCTTAAATTCTTATTTGTTTCGTCAATAAAACCTTTATTTAAACATACTCTCAGCACTGTTAACATAAATACTAGTTCAAGATACTGGGTAGAATATGGTTGTGGTTCGTTCAGAGATATTAGAAGCCTATCTTCCTTCAACACAGGAAGTAAAGCACGTATCTTTCTTTGTAAATCCTAATATAAATTATTGGAAATTTTAAAATCGTGTTAAAAGTTCTATTTTAAAAATATTACATGTAAATTGTTAAATTTTAGAGTGCAGCCACGTATTTTAGACTCTTTATTATTTTTTTAAAATCATGATTATGCAGCGAGCGAGGCCTGCAATAAAACTGTGGAAAAGGAATACGCGTGGATTCAAGGTTATAATGCATGGAAAGACGTATTTCAGAGGTGTACGCATCTTTTGTATTGCAATGTACTGTCTGTGGGTGGTAATGTAAACACAAGACGGATGTCGAAGCCTGACATGGGATCATGCTTTCACATAAAAATGCAATGACATATTCTGGTCATAGCAAACTACTATGTGAATTATCAAAATTATCAAAATTATGCTTTTATCCTCCTCGGATACGAAACGAACACTAATGCATCTATTCTTGTTTAAAAATTCTGCTCAAAGAGAACTGGTTTCAATATGTACGAAGAGCATACACAACTGCAATTAACTTTCCTTGCATTATAACCTTGCGTGGATATGAATTTGATTCATTGTTATAAATGCAAATATTTTTAGCTTGAAACTCAATTTTATAAGTGGAATGGGTCTGAAATTTTAAAATGTTACTGTATATTGGACTATTTAAAATCATTCTTGATTCAACGAGGGTAGGAATGCCAACCACAAACATTTCTGATCCGAGCCACATTCTCATCATTTACCTCATTCATCATAGAATTTTACCGATGGTTTCTTAGGAAAAATGAAAGGCAGAGGTATGACAAATGTTTTGCTATTTATTTTTATTGCAAGACAGAGAGGTTTGACTAATAAAGTTTGCCATCATTCTCATGAATTTGAAGGTTCCAACATGATGTAATCATTTCAAAACTTTAGTTTTATCATATTTTGTGCATTACAATTGTCTTATCTTTAAGAATCGAAAATGTTAAACACTACATGGAAGGAGAAGGATTTCGTTGTGGCTCGGACGAGAAATTGTTATATTTTTATAGCCGTCTTCCTTTTACAAAGTTGATCATCATTTATGGTTCGCACTTTAAATAGTTTATTTTTAAACAAAACTAACCTTGAAATAAAATATGATGGTTTAGATAAAACGTAATAGTTGTTTCTAACATCGCAAAAATGAACTTTTCTTTAAACTTTTTTTTGCAAAAATTAAATTTGAATCTGATTATTAATCCAGGAATGAGTTGATAGGAGAGGTTGTTTCTGAAAACATTGATTGGAATTTAAAGAAATCTGTTCCTAGCCTCTACCAGTCATGCATACAGGGATATATAATTCTCCTAATTTGATCAAAGTAATTTCAACCTCTATTAAAGTTGTGAATGCAGGTTTGTCTGATCAAGTTCAAAATAAGATATCAATGTTATTAATTTCGAATAATTGTTAATTTCACATTTTATTTTTAGAATAATTTATCAGATTTTAATTAATCAAAATAGTCGGACGCAGTTTTTTTACTTTTTTTCTAAAACGACATGAAAAATATCCTAATACAGTGCCTGACTAATTGCTTCTCTCGTAAACCCTGGCTTTCAAGAATGTTGAAAGGAAAACATAGGTAATATTCTAATCTATTTACAGACGGGAAAACATAGGTAATATTCTAAAATCTATTTATAGACGGGAAAACATAGGTNCTAATCTATCTATAGACGGGAAAACAAAGGTAATAACCTAATCTATCTATAGACGGGAAAACATAGGTAATAACCTAATCTATTTATAGAAAATGTGTTAGGAAGACTGTGGCGTCATGTCAAGGACCCTTCTTTTATAAAGAGTTTAAGGTTACCATTGTGAATCGTGCCTAGCCCTCTTTAAACAGAGGGTCACTTGAAACTACAACCACAGTCCCTTCCTGGGAGTAGAAGTTTTTTCCAAGACTGGAATTTGGTTCAAATAAAGTAATAGCATTATTGATTGTACAGGTTCTTAAAATTGTTATTAACGTTTTTTACTGATATACAGTGAATCCCATAGCATGAGTTTTTTCATAATGTCTTATTCTCAACATTTTTAAGATCAAATGCCACGGAATTTTGACTTCAATATAACAATTGTTGTCCTTCACATTTTAAAGTTATTAATTTACCTTAAATTAAAAATAAAAAGCAGTTTTTTAAGAATTATCAAAAAACTTATGACTCTACAATGATATTTGGATATATTTTAATAAATCGTATTCAACCCTTACAACAGTCATAAATTTTATATAAATTTCAAGACGACATTTCATGTGCTCTTGCTATGTATTAATATTTGTGAGATTGGCTGTACAATAATTTCCTAATATGGTTAATAGTTTTAATATTTAGGCAACGATTTCTAGAAGAGGTTGATGAATGTGAAGATCTTAGCTTGGTTTATCAATATATAGAGGATACTCCAACATATTGGAGGTTAGTTTATCAATATATAGAGGATACTCCAATATATTGGAGGTTAGTATTTACTATATAGTGAATTCTCTTTTTTGCCGTTAGATCTTTTTTTTGACAAGCTATTGAGGAAAAACTGTGTTCAATTGCAGAGTTGATATATTTTAATGCAAAACGAATGAATTGCTCTTTTCATTAATAGAAATAAAAACATTGTTTGTGTTTTTTCCTTATTAATTTATCCCTATTAAAGAATGCATGTGTTGTCTGTAGTTGTATTTAACATACAAGATTACAAGTAAACAAAGAGAATAATTGTTAATTGACAACTTCTCTTTGTTTATTTGTTAAATCGTTTCTGCTATTTAAAAGGTTGTTAGAAATCAAAATGTAATAATTGAAAGTCGTCTTTTTTGTTTTATTTTTTACGACGACAACTAAAATATAAAAGATCTGCATAGAACTTCTGGTTCCAGATAAATAGCTATTAAAATTAAGATTGAGGTTTTGTCAGTCTTATCCTCAATAATCTCCAGCCAATTTCACACATACGAATACATAGCAAGAGAGCATGAAATGTCGTCTTGAAATTTATTTAAAAATTTATGAAAGCGGTTGTAGAGTCCTACGTTTTTTAATAATTTAAAAAAAACTGCTTTTTATTTTTAATTCAAGGTAAATTAATAGCCCTGAAATATGCAGGACAGCAATTGATACTGTAAACTCGGTTTTCCCCCAGGGATCAGTAACGTTTCGTATAGTACATTTTCGTATAGTATCATTTTGTCTAGTACATTTTCGTATAGTAACATTTGGTATAGGAAACATTTTGTATAGGTGACATTTCGTATAGGTAACATTTTGTATAGATAACATTTCGTATAGGTAACATTTTGTATAGGTAACATCCATAGTAATTTTTCGTATAAATGTAAAAATTAAAGAACGTCGAGATATTTTTGTAAGAAAATCATGAATATTTCACTAAGAAAACTGCGAACCATTTCAAGAAAATCCGCAAAAGTACAAAAACCTCAACCATGTCTCAGATAAGTCTTACTAAGTCTACTCGTGGAAAGGATGCAATAATCAATAACAACTATCATAAATATACCTTTAATAGTACTGGAAAAAATGTTAACTATTGGACCTGTGCAAACAGAGAGAACTATGGCCAATCATCAACGTCTTAAGTTACTTGCTGAACAGTTCTGCCTGACAAAGAATATCTGCAGCAGGTGGCTCATGAACTTCAAAAATCGGATAATTAACTAAACTGTAAAAAAATGAACATGTAACATTAAATATAAATACCAAAATAGATTCGGTGTTTCATTTTTCATCTTTATTTTTACATTTTTACGAAAAATTACCCTAAGTGTTACCTATACGAAATGTTACCTATACCAAATGTTATCTATACCAAATGTTATCTAGACGAAATGTAACCTATACGAAATGGTACCTATACAAAGTGTACTATACGAAATGTTACCTATACAAAATGTTACTATTCAAAAATGTACAATACAAAATGTTACTGATCCTCCCCCAGTAAACAATTTTGGGGAAATTTCGAGAAATTCTGGAGAATTTTTTCACTTTCTCGTGAAATCCTCGAAGGAGCAAAAGTTTGGAGAATTTTACTCACACTCCTAATAAACTTTTCTTTACACATTTTTCTTCGTTCTTTTTTACTCCAACCAGTCTCCTGAATTTCCCCAAATGCCTCCTCAATCATGGAGAATTCTCTATTGTTTTTCAAATTTACTCGGCATAAAATGAACGAGAATTTAAACCCCAAAATTCCACTACCTTTTTCTCTTATTTTTTCTTCTAGTTTTTTTCAAAGTTTTTTTCTCCTAGTGATATAGTTCCATTACTGTCTTAAGGAGAAAAAGTAAGTTAAATTAAAAAGTAAGTTCACATAAAAGGTACTTTTTAAATACATCTACGAGTTAGTAAGGTATGGATTGGAGCATGCTTTATGTGAAACATAATCATTTAGAATACGAGGTTAAAGGAGTGCTGTATACTCTAAACTTGGGAAAAATCTAAATTTCAACTTATATAGCATTAAGATTTGCTAGGGGGGGGGGGACATTCTCTAGCACATCTCACATATAAGCGAATAAATAAAACAAAAATTCCACCATAATAGAGCATTTTAGGTAAGATTTATGAAATAAAATGCAATGTTAAACGATATTAAATTGGAAAGTTAGTTACATTGTGCATATTGCCAAGCAAATTAAACATAAATGCACTCAATTTACATTTTCTTCTTTCATTCATAATACATGGGAGTTTTCAAAACAATAATTCTAGTTTTTTTAAATCACATCTCTAGCAGCAGCAGTAAAATTTAGCTTGGAATTGTTGCAAGAGTAACTAGGACTGACTAATAACATCCTATATATTTGTTCACAGTCCTTTAGTCACTTTTAATGAATTGATTGATGCAAATATTATCTTATTGCACTGTGCACTGCAGTTATATTCTCCGGTGAAGGTGTGCTTGTGTAATCAGGAATATTAAGGAAAAGGGAAAATATATTGCTGCTGATGTGCTGAGCAACGTGGCTAGCTTGCTTGCAGTATGGTTTCCAGAAAAATGAAAACTTATAAATTCAGAAAAATAATAATATTCCTGTAATAAATATCCTCGAGTAGTATATAAGGGAAACCTAGGATACCTTATCTATACTCCTTCTCATAACTATTATCATCATTTTATGCCGATCTTGTAACCAAATAAAGGATTAACATTTAACCTTGTAAATATACATATATATCTACTATTGTTGAGTGTCCACTACGCCGGTCACCCTGTTTTAATAAATAGTTACTTAAGTGTAAAATCTAGCGTTGAATAGACCTACCTTAAAGCCTATAGGTAGAGAAAACAGAAATACAATGCTTTTTCTGGAATTTTGTGACATTCCATAAAGGAACTGAAAAGCTTACAACAAAGTGTAATTTACTAAACCCTATAACTTTTTCATCCTGACATTGTTGACATTTCATATTTAGGTTTAAAAGATTTAGAGGTAAAATAAAAAGAGTGAAAAACTATAAAAAAAATTCCTTCCTATTTTTGGTGGATTATTACTCCAAAAGATAACGTAAAAATTCATTAAATCTTTTTCCCCAAATACATCCCACATTATGAAAAAATTTTGGACGAATTCCTGAGAAAACTTGATAAATATCTCTTTTTTTTTTTGGAGAATTTTTTCTTAAGATTATCAAGACATTTTCAGGGAAAACAGTTTCGAGATTTATCCCCCAACTTTTTTTACATAAAAGATCTTAACCCAAACCACGAGGAAATCAATGGTTATATTTTTTCTTATTTTGAGGGCAACATATTTTCCTATTTTTCTTGCAACTAAAATTTGGAGAATTTTGCCTCCAGAATATCACCAGCTTTATTGAAAAAATAAATTTTTAGAAATTTATAACATAAAAGGAGAGACTAAAATTCGAGAAATTGATCCCCCAAAATTCACCAAATTTGGGGGAACAATATCGGAGAAATATCAGGGAAATTCTGGGGAATATGTCATCAGATGGTTCCATGGAAAAAATTGCTCAAATGCTTACAGGGGGCCACGGCATTTTATCTCAAATATGTTGATAAGACGACATTATAAAAACTCTTGCTATGTATTCATATATCTGCATATTCACTGTACTGTATTGAACCTTTTGTTTGCAAGCTTTTTCATATTTCAAAATATTCACTTTTTAGACGTGGCAGAAAATATTTTCTTGTGAATTTTTGAAAAAATTGCGTTTCACGTAAAATATTTAATAATTTTGAAGGACAAAAGTAATAGATCAGCTGGGTGGGTTGCGTTCACACTGAACACATTGTACACCAAGTTCACATTTACAAGAATTCCATTGGTTTTAAATAGATTTCACACACAGACCTCTATAAGGTACCGTTGTAAAATTGCTCACTTTGCATGGAGGATCAAGAGAAATTGATCCTTCCATCCCTTTAATTCTTGAACTGTAGGCGCCGAGCACGTAAATTGTTTTCAAGTGTGGATGTGTCCATGCACAGCGGGAGCTGGAAGCAGCTTTGTGTGGAGCGAGCTCTAACCAATCAGATTGAAGCTTTTCAACCGCTGCAATCCAGTTACGACGACATTAAATCTCTTTGTCAGGTAAAATCGATAAATCACAAGCTTGGGTCATTATATAGATAACATTTGTGCATCCTCACAAGAGCAAATAACTATACCTCCTTCTTCAGTAACAGGGGAAAATTAGATCATAAGAAGAAAGAAATATTTGTTTTCAAAGCCGGTGCATGATTTGTAAAGCATAATACATAATCAATTGCATTTGTAAAAGCAAATCTCCTTATCCTTATTTCCTAAATGAATTTTGTTGTAGTTTACAACTTTTTTCCTTCTTTAACTAGTTATGCATTTTATCAATTAAATTATATATATTAAGCATGAGACAATATTTCACATTTAGATCAATTTATTTATAAAGTTTAAGTTATTCATTAAAGTATCATGCTTTGTGAACAGCCTTGAACAGAATAGCGTCACTTGAAAAATTTTCAAATGGGAAATTTACAACTTTTTGGTTTGAGAAAAAGTGAAACCTGACATTATCTACATTTGATAAAGGATGTTGGAAGTATAGTAAAATATCTGAGAATTACACAACTCCTGCCACCAGAGGTGACCACTTCAAACCAAACTGTGGTACAATCTAAAGGTAAATGAGATAACTTTATATTTTCTTTAAAAATAATTGTCCCCCCCCCTCATGAAAAAAAAAACAATTTCCCTAATAATTATGACTTTTGGAAAAAAGTCTTTTTGGATGTAAATATTTTTGTGTGGATATAAAAGGTTGTAAAAGATTGCCAATCGAAGTCCTTTTTTTCTAGCTCAAAGTTTCAAAATTCATGTTTGAAAATGTAAAACTGCGCGATGGATACACCTATTCAATTCAGAACCATCATTTATAATCAATCCTTTTTTGTGGCTGACATTTGCTGACAACATCTAAATCAAAGAACGAAGATGTTCGAAAATAAACGATCATTAAATTCCAACCATCTATAGGGCTGCATATACTCATAAAAATAACAAAAATGATCCGACTTGAAAGATCATTAATTTTGAAAGTGTTCACCAGGAGAAGTTGAGGTAGAGTCAACACAATCTAAAGAAGTATTGTCTAGGACTCCATCTTTAATATCATTTGACCAATCAAACATTTCATCTCCGCCCAGAGGTAAATATATCCACTTACATAGACTCCATACTTACATAATTAAATATATCCACTGACATAGACTCCATACTTAAGTAATTAAATATATTCACTTACATAGACTCCATACTTACGTAGTTAAATATATCCGCTTACATAGACTCCATACTTTTGACCCACTTTCAGTTGCCAGATTTTGATAATTTTCAGCTTTTTGGAAAGTTTATGACATAAGGAAACAGATTTTACAAGTTTTGCAAAAAAATGTGTAAATTATTTGCATAAACCCCGTCAAAAGAAATTTTCACATTTTTGGTTTTTCCCAGGGGCGGGCATAACTCTCCTAATTTTGCCTGGCTAGGTTTATACTGTACAGTGAATTTTGTCGAAAAATGTTTCCTTATGACTGAGTTGGTATCATAGAGTACAGGGCCCAAAACTTAAGACAGGGTATCGTTATGAAAACCAGTTTTAAAACCCGGGTTTCACGAATGGGGTTTTGTGAATATCAATATTTTTGTCATGAAATGTTATTTTTCAGATTGTTTATATTCTTTATTTTTTTAGAATCTCCTAAATCAAAATCTACACAAATGTAAAGACCCCAAAAAGGAAACTCGGGAGTTTTGTTCAACGATACTCTTTTAAATTTCGGCCTCAGTGGGTTTAATCCTAAGTACATCTATTTGTACGGTATTGTGTGGACAGTTAATTTTAAATATTTTTCAACAATGAGATATTGTAGTGTCAAAAATTGTGTAAACAACGATGTTTCGGGTTCAGAAATTTTTTATAACATACGAAAAGAGTGGATAGAACAATAATTGCAAATTTTGAAAATTTTTGCAGATTCTAAAAGTCGAGCATAAGAGCTTTCCAATGATTTATCAATTAGTATTGTTAAGTGCCTACACCTGTCCAGATACTGGATATGGATATCCCTCCTAATCATCTTGATTTCTCTTTACTCCTGCCCCTCATACCGAACCTTGAGGAACTCCACATTTGTTGCCAGGTACCACACACTATACTCTGTACAGTGCAATACCTGCACTTTACTCTGCACAGAACAACATATGCACTATACTTTGCACAGAACACCATATACACTATTGTGAGCCGATCAAAAGGAATATTGCTCGAAGCGGGATGAACTGAAGCAGAGGATATGTAACTCGAAGAATGACAAATCCAAAGGCAAATAGGCTAAGGAAACACTCTTTCAAACCATACACAGATAGATGAGAACTTCTTGAAAATGTATATTTCAGTAACGAGGTTTCCTACAAAATACAAATTGTTATTGGCGTACATGCATATAAATAATAATTGTTAATAAAGATTAAACAGTTGAAGGTGTTTATCAATAAATGAGTATTGGAATTCTAGGTTTTGTAGGTTTAGCAGGATTGGAGATTTTAGGTTTAGTAGGTTTAGCAGGATTTGGGGATCATGTTTTATTGCTGTTGTGAATCGATAAATAAAGGGTTTAAAGGCACTGTTGTGAACTGATTAATAAAAAAAAGGTTTAAAAGGTACTGTTGTGAATTAGGTATATGGAACTTACAATCTAGAAAACTGTGTTAGGCCGAAAAGTTGTTTGAACTGAAGTCTAAAGCAATTTAATTCTTCTGAAAATAAATATTCGTCTGGTTAAATAAGTTCACTGTTTGATTGCAAATGATTCACTGAAAATTATGTTTAACTGGGTTCTTTTAATGCACTTAAAGTTTTATTAGCTCCATGAGGTTATTGTTTATGCTATGCAAAATCCTTGGCAATGTTTGGTTTGGTGGGTGGACGGAGGGTTCAACGGAGATACAGTTTGTCGGAGACGACCTTACAACAGGGGAAATTTGAGGGATATGGTTCACAACTATGTATATATGCACTATACTCTGCACAGTACAATATATGCACTATACTCTGCACAGTACAACACATGCACTATGTATACTCTGCACAGTACAACAAATGCACTATACTTTGCACAGAACACCATATACACTATGTATACATGCACTATACTCTGCACAGTACAATATATGCACAATACTTTGCACAGAACACCATATACACTATGTATACATGCACTATACTCTGCACAGTACAATATATACACTATACTCTGCACAGTACAATATATGCACTATGTACTTACACCTTGCACCCTGAACTGTACAATTCAAAATTTTATAGTGAGAAAAAATCTAAAAATTTAATTAAATCAGTGTTATTTAAAAAAAAATTATTTTTATTGTACACATTTATGTATACTAGCATTAGTGGGCGCTTCGCGCCCATCTTATAAATTAATTGTGAACATATGTTCTCTTGGTGTACATCGTAAAACAAAACAAAAATAATTCGCGGATTTTCACAAAAAATTTCGTGGATTTTCAAAATTTTAAAAAATCTAATG